ATTGCACCACTGGTATTTACCCAAAGGATACAAAAATACTGATTCAAAGGGATACATGCACCCTGACATTTACAGAGCATTATCAACTATAGCCAAATTATGGAAAGAGCCCAAATGTCCATTCACTGATGAATGCACAAAGAAGAGGTGGTAGATATACACAATGGAATATTACTCAGCCATGAAAAGAATGAAATCTTGCCATTTGCCAAGACATGGATGGAACTAGAGGGTATATTATGCTAAGCTAAGTAAGTCAGTCAGAGAAAGACAAATATCATGATTTCACTCATATGTGGAACTTTAGAAACAAAAGAGGTGAACACGGGGGAAAAAAAGAGGCAAACCATAAAACAGACTCTTAAATGTAGAGAGCAAAATGCGGGTTGCTGGAGGGAAAGTGAGTGGGAAGGGTTAAATGGGTGATGGGCATTAAGGAGGACATTTGTTATGATGAACACTGGGTTGTTGTATGTAAGTGATGAATCACAAAATTCTATACCTGAAACTAATATTACACTGTGTATTAACTAACTGGAATTTAAATAAAAACTGGGAACTACAAAAAAATATAAATAAATAAATAATAAATAACTCACTAGTATTTCAAGATCTGAAGAAATGTAATTAACATGGTATGGAGATGGACCTAAGAAAGTATAATTGGGAAACTAAAATGTAAGAGCTTTTTTTTAAGATACAGAATCAATGAACTATTGGAAAATGTGATAAAGTAAATCAATGCCAGGAAAACGTCAGTGGGATTTACTCTGATAAATATCTGATGCTTATATATTTACAGTATCAGAAATAGAAGCTGAATATAAAAACAGAATAACAATTTCAAGAATTATAAGAGCAATATTTCCAATTTTTTCCTAATAAATGTCGAAGTCTATAGGAAATATGCACATTCTCAGAAAGAGAAGAATAACTGCATTTTAAAAAAAAATGGCATGGAGGGTTTTTAAAAAGTTTAATGGTAAATATTATCCAAGACCAAATTTTTTTTAAAGATTATTTATTTGAGAGAGAGAGAGGGAGGGACAGGTAGAGAGAGAGTTTTAAGCTGGCTCAATCCCATGACCCTGAAATCCCGACCTGAGCTGAAACCAAGAGTAGGATACTCAACTGACTTCACTCCCTAGGTGCCCCCCAAAACAAAATTTAAAGAGCTCTTGAAAGGAAAAGATACTGATAGATTAACCTAAATCTGGCATTGTGATTTGTTATTGGGTTGTATACAAAAGTATTAGAAATAAATATTCATGTAATTCCCTCCTGAAATCAATTCCAGTAGGTGTCTCATTAATTTTTCCACTTTGCTGGTTTGTTGTTACTTCATTTTTCTATTTGTTTGTGGGTTGTAGATGATGATGTTGTATATATAGGTGTGTAGTTATTAAAAGGATTTTCATAAACCCAACCAGAGATACTCATTTCCACTTAGTCAAGCATGAAGTTATCAGTGCTAGATTTACATTGTTTTCATTGTTTTTGAATAAAAAAACATGGGGAAATTATCTTCAAAATAGTAGAATGGACAATATAACATATTTAGATGTTAGAAAGTTACATATAGGATGGGAATAAAATGTATTTCCTCTTAGGTCTTTTATCTTCATTAATTTTTCTGGTCTGGCTTTATATAATCAATGTCAAGACCAACAATATTAAGATGTTAGAAGTTCAATGAGAATGGTATTGATTTCTGAGTTGTTTAAAATATCAGTATTAAAATGTTAACTTAAAAAAATAATATTTCCTTAGCAATTATTACATAAATCTTCTCTGGTATTTTTCTCTTAAGTTCATATCATTGTATCCTTAACATATCCAGAGACAAAAGATTTACAGTGCATGTTTTTTGAGGATGAAAATTAAATAATTATATATTCTAACATTATGCTTCCTACATATAAAGCTTAAAATAGGTACGATTTAATTAATGATCTGATTGGTAAAATATATTTTATTTTAAGAATTAAAGCTTAAGGGGTGCCTGGTTGGCTCAGTCAGTTCAACGTCTGCCTTCAGCTCAGGTCATGATCCCAGGGTCCTGGGATTGAACCCCGCATCGGGCTCCCTGCTCAGCGGGGAGCCTGCTTCTCCCTCTCCCTCTGCATTCTGTTCCCCTTGCTTGTGCTCTCTCTCTCTGTCAAAAAATAAAACCTTTGTTTATTTTTTTTGAAAGAATTAAAACTTAAAGATCTCTCTAAAGAAATAAATTGAAACGTGTTTCATGTATGGAAAGTGTTGAATTGCTGTATTGTACACTGAAACTAATATATTAACACTGTATTTTAACTAATGAATTAAAATAAAAACTTAAAAAAGAAACAGGGAAAGTTTTACGGATTAAACATTTTACATTATTGAAAATAATGTAATTACTGGAAATATGTTTGGGTGGAGCAATATATATATATCTTTATTATTTATTTCATGTTTCTATATATCTCTGAACTTCTTAGTTAACAGTCAGTATATCTCAAGCCTTCACATTGTGGATTAAGATACAGTTATAGCAATGCTATTCCTTGTGTCTGAGAAATTATTTCCTTATCTAGCTCATCTGGTGAAAGAAAATACATGATGATAAGTCAAGAAATTTAGAATGTGGATGCTAATATATGATAAGCCGAAAATGAGAATAGAAGTGAATTGATGACAAGCTAAAAGTACTTTCTCAGTATATATATTTTTTATGTGTTCCAAACTACTACTACTTTGAGGAAATATTTACAAATATGCAACAAGTATTTTATCTCCTAGACCAAATTTATCAACTCACCTAAATCCATTCCAGATTGTTTGAGAAAAAATCACTACACCTACCAAAGGCCAATCTACACAAAGAAGCTCGATCCCAATATCTTTTATTACTTAATGTGGCACTCTAGAAACTTACAGTCTTGCTCTCCAATTGCATGGACTCAACATTTACTAGCTCCCACATATTAAGAGAGGAAAAGAGTGAAAAAGGGAAGGAAAAGGCAACAAAGAAAAAGAAGTCTACCCCATGAAGCCCTAACTCATCTCCATCAAGTGCTCATATTAAAAATCTTGGTCATATTTGATTCCTAAATTTCATTTCTTCCCCTGCTCAATCTCCTAACTGACCCTGTTTGATATATTATTGAAATATATACCAGTTTTATTAGGTATTACCATTAATTCAGCCACCATCCAGCCAGCCACCATTTCTTCTAGACTAAGCAATTGCAATAGCATCCTAACCTTTCTGCCAACTCCATATGCTCTGTTATCCACTCTCTAAAGAAACCATAGAGAGCATTATTTTATTCTTCAAATTTTCAAATGTTTCCTTGCCTGTTTTAGAATTCTGCATTTGCTGTTCTCTCAGTGTTTCTCCCTTATTTGTGGTTGGATTTTTTTTCTTAGTATTCTAACCTAGCTCAAATGTCTGCTAATTTAAGAAACTTTTTTTCCTGACTATCCTAAATTATTATTTCATCAACCTATATTGGAAAGCATTATTTTAGGTTCCTGTGAACACTTATCATTATTGGAAATTATTTTATTCTATTTTGTCTCTCAAAATACAAGCTTATTTTGAGCAAGTACTTCTCTGTTTTTTTCATGTCTTACATATACACCCTGTAATGAATTTTTTTTTTTTAAGATTTTATTTATTTGACAGAGAGAGAGAGACTACAAGCAGGGGGAGGGACACACAGAGGGAGAGGGAGAAGCAGGCTCCCTGCTCAGCAGGGAGCCCGATGTGGGGCTCGATCCCAGGACCCTGGGATCATGACCTGAGCCGAAGGCAGATGCTTAGCCATCTGAGCCATCCAGGTGCCCCATGAATATTTTTGAGTATCTGAATTAATGAATAAATTGATGAATGCATTTAATTTCCTAATAATATTCATAAATTATAAACAAATAAGAAACATATTACATTGAAACATTGAAGACTAACTTTGTAAACTATTTCACTTTATTGTTGGTCAGGCATACAATCAAAAATCAAGCAAAAGTTAATAGAACAGAAATTGGAAGTTTTAAAATGAATATATCATACATGAATCATGCTTGAATTGCTCTAGACTAGATCATATCAGTAAGAAAATTAACAGTTCAAAAGTATATGGATTTTATTTATTGCAGTAATATTGACAGACCAATTAAATAAAGCATCTGGCCTCCAAGCATTATATTTATTCATTTATTCATTTATAAGTCAATTCATTTAGTAAATATTTACTGAGTATTATCATGTTCTAAGTTTTGTGCTGTAGAGAAAGACCCCATTTGAAAAGAGGTAAATATGACATATATCATGAAACTTAAATCAAGCAAGAATTCTAATAAATATAAAATTCAATAATACTTTTCTTGTAGGAATATATTCACTAATCATAAAAAGTACTAAGAATAAGACGTGAGAAATAAGATTTAAGATTTAATTGTTAATATTTTATCATAAACAACATCATCATCACTAGAAGACAGCAAGATGATGAGAATGACTACAGAAGGAATGTTCATAGGGGCTACTTGACTAAACAATGTTTGAAATCCAATCCCAATGTCAAAAGATATAATCCAAATGTATATTAGAGGCATTAAGAACAGAATACACGGTATAAAAACAAAAAAATTATTATTTAAAAGAAAATCAAACTCTTCTAAAACATGGATAAGAAGTACATTGCAAAATCTTGTTATAGGAGACTGTCTTCTCTGATCTAAATGAAGTCATGCTTGACAGAGTGATATTTAAATGCATTTTCTAAATTTCTCTGGGTTAATTATCTGTGAGGTACACTATCTTCCTGAAATAACATCAAAATTTGAAGATGCTGAAGGTACCTCCTCACATTTGTGTCTTCTGTAGTTATCACTGTAATCGCATTGGTAAATGTTAAAAGCTAAGATATTTTTGTACAAGTCAACAATTCAGAATCAGCCTTTTTGATGAAATGAGTATGCAGTACCTGTCTTTCCATTAAAATATGTTTCATTTATTTGAGGTCATTGCTGCTGAAAGTGTTTATTGCAATAGGTAAGTGTTACAAATGGAATAATACACATTTACTTGATAAAAAGAGTGATTTATATCAGACGCTAAGTTTTATGTTTTACAGATCTGGAGCATATGCATCACTGGTAACTTTCATTTTCATTAAATCCCAGGTGATGCCCATGTTCTGATCCATGGACCACACTGAGTAGCAAGGTTTGAAGGAATAAAACTAGTGTTTACATAGGGCGTTCTATTAGTTCTCTTTGTTACTACAGGAATTCTCATCTCCTATTTTCTTGTACTTATGGCAAAAATATGCAACTTCTGATCCCACTGGCTTCCCACATCTCAAGGCTTAGGCAATGACTATGTCAAATCTGGTTGCATTACCAAGTGGCCAGTAGAGACAATGGCATTGATCATTTTTCCCATCACTGAGATCAAAAGTGGTGAAAGGATGAATTCTATGCCTTCCCTGTCCAAGTGATTTTTTTTGTTTTAATCAGAGAACAACCTACATACACTTTTTGAAAGGAGATGCTAGTTTATTCACATTATGAAAAAGTATAAAAAAGAGGCTAGTTAGTGGTAATGTTCTTTCAAATTTAACTTCTTACCTATGTGAGAAATATATTCACTGTTTACATATTTCACAAACTACTCAATTAGACATTGTTAAAATCTAGAAGAACAAATTGGAGGTCTAACATTAATTTTTATTTTAAAATTATTATTAATAATATGATTTGTCAAAATAATTACAAAGAAAAAAACTAGGAGAAATGTTGGATCAAATGTGATACTGGGCACATATGAAAGCCAGGAATATACTAACACGAAGAAAAGTAATTTCAAAGAAATAACTAAGGAATTTCTACCCTGTCCAAGAAGACAAATATTACTAAATCCACACATAGAGGTACCATATGTGATAACACCAAACACAAAGTAGAATTCTCAACAACAATCAGAGACAAGAGAGAGATTACATATCAACCTAGTATTATCAATTCACTTATGCTAATCTTTAAGAATATAGTAAAATAAAGATCTTTTATGCGAACAAAAATGATAGATTTTACTTAACAGGCCCTCACTTAAAGGATGTAGTGAATTTTTTGCAAAGAAGAGATCGAAACTTACAAAGACTGCATTGGGTTGATGATAGTAAATTTATGAAGTTTTCACTAAATGACATCAAAGAAAACTAGAAATTAATGTTATTTAAACAATTGGAGAGTTTATAGAACTGGGAAAGTATTTTGTACTTATTTGAAAAAATTACTCTGCAATCTGTGGATTGAAAGAAGTATTTTCTATTTTTGTTAAAACAAGTATACAATTTAAATAATTGATAAGTGCAATTTTATAAAAAGTAGCTAGAACAGAGGAATTTCAGAGGAGACAGTTTAACATGTATTGAATAAATGAGTAAATGGGTACACAAAAACAAAGATACAGATTCCTTAGACACAAGAGAAAAAGGTAGTTGAAGAATAGGAATTTGAAATGAGAAAGGAAACTCAAATTTGTGTTAGAATGGCTAAAATTTGAATTAATTGTCACAAATTGAATAAATACCCATTAGTAATCAGGTAGTCCAACATTCATTCCCCTTCTTTATGAAACTACTGAAATACTGAAATATTTTAGGGGAAGATTTCCAACTGAAACAGTTGTAAGGACCTAACTTATTTAGCATAATATTATCTCTAATGTAATGGCTAGGAAAAAAATGAGCAGCAATTGAATTAATTATGAGGAGATAAGAGAAGATATTAGCAGAAGGCTTCTAAGAAGAAAAGTTATTCCTTTGTGGGTGTGTGTGTATTATAATTGCTTCATATTGTATTTTGGGCATTATATAGAAGTCATCCTTTGCCTCTCCATGGCACTGGTTACATGAACACATAGGGTGATTTCACTTGTCTTGTGAAGGAGAACAAGCCTTAGGATTATGATGCTATAAAATACAGAGCATCACTGAATTGCTGAATCAAATGTACTTTGATGCTAAACTAGCTCTAGTGGAGCCTCATATAGTTTTGGACTTTTAGTAACCATGTAGATCATAGTTCAACCACTGGCCTGAGTTGGACATAAAGAATGAGCAAAATATGTATTTATTTTAAACCACTAATATTTTGGGTTTATTTGATACTGCAGCATGATCTGAAATTGCCTGATTAATCACAGACATTGGTTTCAGGAGTAGAGTGCCATCTCAACAAATCTAAAATGTGTGACACAAGCTTATCAGTTGGGAATGGAGGAAACGATTTGCAGAAGCTGGAAAAATGCCACTTTTAAGCAGTAGCAGAATATTTGGTAACACCATGTTTCTGAAAATCTTGTGAGGCTGACTGCATGTCCAATTATTTTGTAACTCTAGGGGAAGAGTTCAAAAACAGAACATTAGTGTTTTTGATTGTTATTGACTCAATTTTATCAGGTATTACCAGAAAGAGATAAGTAAAGAATTTGATTGCTGAAAAGCAAAAAATGAAGTGAAGTAAAAACATTCTGGAACTCTGGACCTTGGTGTTATGAGGCTCAAACTGTAGGAGATAATTGATAAGACTTTTAAGAGGCAACACCCTATCAAAACTCAGCATTTTAGAAAAGATAAAAATAAGAGTGTAGCCTTCCCATTTATTTCCAAAATTCCCAGAGGATCCAAGTGCCTCAAGGCAAAGATCAGATTAAGGATATGGAGGACAGTTAAACCTCAAAATTTCATTAACTGGGTTAGAGAAAAATCAGGCTATAGCTTTTCTTCAGAAGCCCAGATTTCTACTTATAAGCTTAAAAGTTAAAGACAGTTTAGAGGTAGAAGGAAGGAATATATGTGTGTTTGTGTGTGTGTGTGTGTGTATAATGTATATACATATATATAATTATATTTTCATACATCATATATTACATATGCTATATATCAGATATGGAAAATTATATCTTAATAAGAACTGTAGGTATGAATATTTGCTAGCATCACATATATCAATTTTTTTAAATTTTATTTTAATGTTAGTCACCATACAGTACATCATTATTTTGATGTAGTGTTCCATGATTCATTGTTTGGTATAACACCCAGTGCTCCATGCAGTACGTGCCCTCCTTAATACCCATCACCAGGCTAACCCATCCCCCCACTACCCTCCCCTCTAAAACCCTGTTTGTTTCTCAGAGTCCGTAGTCTCTCGTGGTTCGTCTCTCTCTCTGATTTCCCCCCCCTTCATTTTTCCCTTCCTTCTCATAATGTCCTCCATGCTATTCCTTATGTTCCACAAATAAGTGAAACCATATGATAATTTACTTTCTCTGTTTGACTTATTTCACTTAGCATATTTTTTTAATGTTTTACTCTAAAACAAGTACAAACCTGGAATAACAATAGTAAAATTTTAAAAATGTTGTTATTTGACACTTTTGCCCCTTCCTTCAAATTCCTCTAATTGGACATGAGTTTAAAAAGTTGAACAGGGGCATCTGGGTGGTGCAGTTGGTTGAGCATCTGACTCTTGGTTTCAGCTCAGGTTGTGATCGGGGTCTGCAGGGTCATGAAATCGAGCCCCACATTGGGCTGCATGCTCAGCACAGAGTTGCCTTGAGACTCTCTCTCCCTCTTTCTTCCCCGCCCTCCCCCCCCCGCTCTCTCTGTCTCTGTCTCTGTCTCTGTCTCTGTCTCTCTCTCAAATAAATAAATCTTTGAAAAACAAATTTGAACAAATCCAAGATAGGCACATTCCCTCAAGGGAAGCCAAGAAGCATCTCCTTGAGTGTACAGACAGGACCGTAGGAAACAATGCATCATGAAACAAATCCTATAGAGCAGAATTAAGAGTTTTAATCAATAAATATTCACCAACACTATTGTAGGGCCTGCTCATAATGCCTATTTATCAGAATTTCAGAAATGCTATAGTCCTGCGACTATTGAGGGCCTTCTATTCCTCCCTTTCTGATAATGAGAAAGATACAGATATCCAGACCATATTTCATCATTAAATATATTGGGAATTAGTGGAGGAAAAGTAATTTATCCTTTAGTTCATAGTTTGTTCAGTTTAAGAGCCACAGCCAAACCTGCTATTGAACTTAGTAAACAGTACGCCAGCATTCTAGAATTTGAACTGAATAAAGTGACTGATGCATTTTTAGATTGCTTGGTCTGGGGATGATTGATTGTGTATGATGTGTTAAAAGAAAAAAAATGCACAAGAACATGGATAAACGAGTAATATTCACCAAATAATCTGACTCTCTACATTAACCAGTCTTTTTTCATTTAAGTCCTTTGGCATTGAGTGCCAGTGAAATATGAGGCAACGTGGTTGTATGGTACTCTGCAGCTTATTATCTCCCTGACACAGTGTATGCTGAGGTCACCTATTGACATGCTAGTATCATAATGAATCCATCTATCTGAGTCTCTGGGAGACTTCATAGTATAAAGGACCCTCTCAACCATGGTCCATAGTTCATACACTGGACACACAATTAGGGAGAGAAATGAACACTTAATCCACTGAGAGTTTGGGGAATGAGGTCCTCCATAGCATAACCTAGATTATCTGAATAATAAACACTTGATTGACTGAAAAATATATACATATTGAAAGACAAATTAGTGATCCGTGCCCATGTTCTCTTATGTTCTGAAATCAATCCCTTTTCCTAAACCATGTACATGGATAATCATTGTGTGGGTACTGTTACTGAAATCTGAGAAAAACCATGCTAAATTTAGGCAGAATTGTTAACTAATTGGAATTATGAGCTAATTTAAGATGTGAACTAAATACCAGAATGAAATACAGATGTGACAAAGGATAGCTGGTATTTGCTAGCCTTAAACACCATCAACTCTACCTAATATTTATATTTTATTAGAAATGGCATGATAAAAAATTAATATAAAGCACCACTCTAAAATTTGGAAAATATTAAAAGATAAGTCACCTGAAAAAAAAAAACTGTTACCCTAATTCAAATAAAAGAGTCTCCACATTTTTGTTCGTATTTTTATTTTATAAATATATTTTTCATGTTGTCATGTTCATAGAAAATTATTTAAACATAAATAATTTTGTGATTATGAAATCACAAATATGTGATTTGTCATATTCCACAAACCAGATATACAATAATTTACATAAATAATATACTTTTTTGGAGCTAAAGGGGTGGCATACAATTGCTCAGCAACATATATATA